CAAGACATGCAAAGAAATGCAAATGAATATGCAAATGCAACAGGGGATCAAAAGTTGTTGTGTTGTTGACGGTGACGGACCAGCGCTTCGCCTCGAGACCAAACAACATTAGTACAAGGATCCCACTGTAATTGTTCATACTGACAAACGGGTAGGATGAAGGTCAAAATTTTCCTGCAAGACAGCACAACGAGATATCTTTCCCATCGGGTGGGCAATCTATTGGTTTAAGAGGGTATTCCAAAGGCTTTTCAAACAAAGTCCTATGCACTAACCCTCAAAAGTTTCCCATCATAACGACTACTCGTAAGACGGTAATCCCTTCAAAAGGATGAACACAGAGTTATGTTTTAGCAACCTTCGGAATAAAGGTTCTACAAAAGGTCCTCAGAATCGCGGACTCTCAAGTTGAAAATAAGAACGCCATTACGACTACACGTAAGACATAATTATTCCAACGGGGTCTCATCTGAGCGGTGGAATTCGATCCAACTCAACGAGTCCTAAGTCTCGCAAATCAGAAAGAAACCACCTCCTAACTTAGTGCATACTCGAAAGCTTGGGTAGAAAGCTTTATCCTCACAAACCAAACCAAATGAACCCAAGAAGTTAGCAAGAAACATAACCATAAAATAAATAGCAAAACAAATAAAGCACAAATGCGACAAACAAAATAGGCGTGGCTTGCTAGGTTTCCCCAGCAGAGTCGCCAGCTGTCGCTACTCGAAAAAATGCATCGCGCAACGACGGGGAGGCGAAAAAGATAGACAGAAGAGTCGCCACCGAACTTTATTTATCCCATGGGGGGAAAGGAAAATATCGAGAAAACCTTAAGAAACGAACGGATAAGATGGTCTCGCAACCATGAACGGGTTCGGAAGCCGGTTATGCGAGGGGAAGGTATTAGCACCCCTCGCATCCATCGTACTCGATGGGAACCTTTTGTTTGTCGATGTGTGATTATATTTGCTTAAATATTATGCTATAAAGAATGTTCTAAAAGATAGAGAGAAGGGTTTAGAAACGGGGAAAGAGAGGTGACGAGGGAAAGAAAGGACTCGATAGGACTTCGCGGTCCTAGGCCTACGTATTCTCAACAGATATGAGAAAGTCAGAGTCGACGTAGTTCGGGAAACTACGGGTGATGGGGGGGATTGTGCTCGCCAAGGATTGTGGCCCTTGTGCCTACGTATTCTCATCTGGTATGAGAAATCAGAGCAGCCGTAGTTCGGCCTACGGTGTGTTGATGTTTTTTATGGATGATGCTATCGTGCGCGTTCTAGCAGTTAGGTGTTTTGCTGCTCGCTCGTTGGAGACTTAGGCGTACCTGTTTGCGGTAGAACGGACGTAACATATCCTTTTGAAAAATTGATTAGTTTTCGCCACGCGGGGCAAGAAGTCACGTTTGATTGATTGGATTGTTTTTTAGGGGGCGAGACAAGTCCTCGGATAGTAACCCCTACGGGTAGTACCCAATTTGTTATCTCAAAGTTTTTGTTATAAAAAGGGTGTGGTGAACGAGGCGTCTTCATATTGAAAGACGAGCGTCGAAACCACCCTCACTACAGTGGGCATCCCTATGCTCGGAGAAGAAGAGGTCTACACCCAATCCTCTCTCTTTAATTCAATGCAAAGAGAACTTCGTTCTCTTATTAAAGATGTTTTTGGTTTTAAATGGTAAGTGCTTTGCGACAGAGAACCCTACGGTAAACGTCAGCACTCGGGATAGGAGAAGGCCTACGCCTAACCACTCCACGACCATTCAAGTTTTTGTTATAAAAAACGAGTTTGAAAATGCACTCGGTGTGAGACCGAGGTTTTAGGTGAGAAAGGTTACGGGATGAAGTTGTAAAAGTGAGATATGGTGGATAAAGTCGCGTCTTTGTATTGGAAGACGAGTATCGAGACCACCCTCACTACAGTGGGCATCCCAATGCTCGGAGAGGAAGAAGACTACACTTAATCCCCTCTCTTTAATCCAATACAAAGAAAATGTGATTTGAAAATATTTTCAAAGTTACACTCGGTACGAGACCGAGGTTTTAGGAGGAGGATATGGATGAGTGCGGGGAATACGAGCGTCTTCGTATTGAAAGACGAGTGTCAAAACCACCCACACTACAGTGAGCATCTCGACACTTGGAGAGGGAGAAAGTCTACACTTAATCCTCTTTTTTCAATTCAACACGAATATAACTCAGTTCCTTCCTTGAAGATAGTTTGATAGCACCGGTGAATCGAATCGGGACAAGAAAGGAAGAGAGAAAAGGTGGTCTCAGATCCTACATCATCCATCAACAATTTGATTAATAATGATTTACGGAGGTCTCGTCATCGACACAAAACAAGATGAAATGAGATGAAAAGCCCAATAATAAATGAGAAATAAATCTATCTCTAAAATAAAATAAAATGAACTTCTAAGTAAAATATATATACAAAAACTACAAAATATAATGTATAATGTATATTTAAATATAAAGTAAATAAATAATATATGTAAAAAACTCTAGAGAAAATAATTTTAAAAAAAAACAACATAATATATACATATTAATTTACTGTAAAAGAAAAATGTTTGAGAATATATTTTCAAAAAGGTTTAAATACTATATAGTACATATGAAAAAAAGAAAATAAATAATAAATTTCATGATTTGTGGAAAGGAAAAGGAAAGGATCGGCGTTCTACCACCATCATCATCGTATTCGTAGCAGGACGACACCGGAGGGTCTATCACCGGCGTACACCAATTTTTTTTTGCTTGTTCTTCGCGATTTATCCAAACTCCTTACGATTTGTCCAAATTTCTCGCTCGATCTTCGTTCGCCTCCCCGTTCAGAAAAGCTTCAGTCCATTCTTCTTGCTTCAGGTTTGCATTGGTCTTGCTTGTATTTCTGTTTTCGATTTCACTTTTACTCTCTTCTCTTTAACTCACTTTCAGGTTTTGTTCTGTTTGTAGAAAAGGATACAGCAGTTTTGCTAGTGGTTTGAAGAAAGGGGAAAACAGTGAAGATTTGAATAAAACTGGGTTGAAGACCGGTTTGAGTGAAAGTGATGAGGGTTTACGAAAAGGGGATTTGTTTGTTCGAATTCTGAGTATAGCTTCGTCGCTTATTGATTTTCGAAATGGTTTTGAGGGATGTTGGTGATTTGGGTTTGAAGCTCCATGGCCGAGCGTTAATGGAAGGAGTTTGTGGTTTACGGCGGGTTGACGGTGAATTGAAGATGGATTTGTGAAGGTGGTACGAGTGTGTCACGGTCTCGATTTCACGGTGAGTATTTGGGGGTTGTGAACGGGGGTTATTTTGTTATGAACATGAGGGTTTGAGGTGAGATTAGAAGTTGTGAATCTGAAAACGGACATAAAAATGGAAGGAGAGAGGTTACCGGGTTTCTGAAGGGGTGAGTGAGTTTCTGTTTGTGTGTGTTTTTTTGGAGATTTGAAGCTTAGGTGAAGGAGGGGGAAGTTGGAAGGTTTCAATGGCTTCAGTTGTTCCGGGTTTGAAGGTGCGGTGGTTAGGGAAAACCGCGGTAAGTTTCGGTGATGAGGTTGGGTTTGTTGTTTATGGATTTTCTGGAAATAGGTTTCCAGATTTGGATGGATTGATAAGGTTTGATGCTGGTGCTCACGATGAAGGTTTGAGAAGGCTGATAACAGTGAAGAACATGGTTTGTTGGGATTAATCAATGAAGAAGAAGGTTGTTTCCATGGTGTTGGATGGTTGTTCTGAAGTGGTTTAATTTGTTTGAAGAAGGATGTTTTATTGACAGAGTGGAGAAGATGATGTGGTTTACAAAGAAGAGGGTTGTTTTTTTTCTTTTTTGATGAAGTTTTTTGTGTTGTTATTTGAAGAGGTTTGAACCAGTTTTTGAATCCCCCCCCAGAGGTTGGTTGTCTGGCGTGGCTTTGAAGTAGTGGCAGGTTCTGTACCATTTTGGTTTGTGGTAGCAGAATAATGTAGAGTTTGGTCTGGTGTGAGTTTTTTGTGCAGTAGTAGCAGAGTTGTAGTATGGTGCTGCACGGTACGGTTGTGCAGAAGTTGTCTGGTGTGGTGTATAGGTTGTCTACTTTTACAACATACATTTCTGAATGTCCACCAGAAAAATTGCCACCATGTGAGGATGCAGTACCTTCATCTTGATTAATGTAACAGTCCAGACCTTAATAGTATTATCATAGCTACATGAAAATAAGATATCCTCTGTTGGGTGCCACCTGACCATTTTCACATCCTGGGTATGACCTTGCAGCACTGAGACACACTCAAACTCATTGCCTGGCTGCACTCCCCATATCCAAACAGACTTATCTCTACTACAAGTTGCAAGTAAAGTTCCAGATGCATTCCAAGATACACTCTTTACTTCATTTTCATGTCCCTCCAAAGTAGAAACACATTCAAAATCACCCCCAACATTTTCCCATATGGCAGTGGTGGCATCAAAACATGCAGTGGCTAACAACTTCTCAGCCGGCGACCAAGCACAAGATCGAACAGTTCGAGTATGTGTTTCTTCCAAAACCGCCTTGCAGGAGAAGGGGTTATTAGAGAGGTTCTGCTCCCAGATTCGAACAGTTTTATCGCCGCTGCAAGAAGCGAAGACGAGCGGAATACCGGCATGACCGGTAGCCGGATTCCAATCCAAGCTCCAAACCCTATCGGTGTGACCTTCGAGTTTCTGAACCTCTTTCAACTCCAACGTCTTCATTGCAAAGAGTGATTTGAATCGGTGTACACTCGCTACGAACACAGCCTAACTCGTTTCTTCTTCACTTCAGTTCAATTTGCTAGTTTTTTTTTATTTTCTCGGAACAAGAATTGTATTCTGTACATTCTATCAAGAAAGGATAATTAATTCATTTAGTTCCTTAACAAAATCTTTGGAACAAGACAATAAATTCAAAATGGGTGTCTACAAGAGCTTCTATGCATATGCTTTTCTGTGTATGTGTCTGCTATTCCTAATTCCATGTTCTCCTTGGCCCTCCTAATAATCATATGTTCTTTAAAGAGTGTAGGTGATGGAAATACTTCCGACTCTTTTGTTGTGAACGCCAGTAGCATGCGAGTGCTCCAAAGGCACAGCTAGCAACAGCAATTGCCAAAGCAGCTCCAACCGGCACCACAACTGCATTCGTCCCGACTGTTAAATCTTCTAGGGTGGCTCCTTCAGCTCCTTCAGTTCCAGCAATACCATTCTCTTTGTACAGAGACACGAGTGTTTTCCCGTAATAATTTCTCAGAGTCCTGTAGGCTTCATCCTGGTTCCATTCAATTTTGTTGCTTGTTTGGTCATAGTCAAGGTAACAGGAAGAGCAAAGCTGCTTTGGAGGCCAAACTGTCTTTGGGAATTTGGGATCACCGGTACCTATAGAAGCTTCTTCTTTCCTCAGCCTTTCATTTACCTTGTTATGGGAACTCCACAACCAGAGTGCAAAGTCGCGGGCTTTGTTGAAAGGACTGGAAACACTTGAACACATCTTGTAAAAATGTTGTCGGCATTCCTCGCAGACAAAGAAGTTGTGAACAAAATCACAGATTGCAGTAAATGTAAACTGACTCTCTCCATCCTCAATCCTTACAGAGAGTGAATGTAGAAGAACCCATAAGCCACAGCTAAAGCCTCTGGTTTCATTCTTACTACCACGACAGAACATCCAGTATCCACGTGGCACTTCTTTTTCCGCAAATTTGAAAATTCTTAGCCAAACTCTTATCATCTTCTTTCTTATGAGATGACCAAGACTCTGTTGGGTATAAGTCATCAAAGCTCACAAGTAAGTCTCCGGCGCCCTTCCGGCATCTCCTGGAAGGATGATGAGCGGTCAAAAGCTGGAGAAACTTTTAAAAGTGAAGCACGGGTTTCTGGTTTTATCATCTTGTTCTCCAAGATGATGTCAAAAGCTAATGAAGTTGCCTCTTCAACATCATAGATACCTCTTGCAATCTGTTGGGGGTCTGATGTATTAGATGAAAGATGCTCATTTTGAAACTTCTGATCATCCAGCCCAAACGAACTGGACGTTTGTTTGTTGATCCAAGTAAGCAATTGACCAGCTGTGCGTGCATTCACAATCTCAATCACCTGTATATCACTGTTCTTTTGTGTCGGTTCCCAACTACCACCTACAAATTTAGGAGAAGCGCCCCAAAAGAGCATAGGATAATGACCAACAGAAAACTTATCACAGAGCTTAGTATTTATCTTTTCTGCACAATCCACCCTTGTCAATAATATGATTCCAGGATGCACTGCATCAGGTCCATTAAATAACCTTGCAACCTTTTCGTATTGAGGCTTATAATTCCTGCAAGCAGGACACCAATGTGCAAAGAATTCAACAATAGCAAACGTAGCAGGAGTATCCTTCAAAACAGGTACCAATGTGCAAAGAATTCACCAATGTTGCAGCTGGTTTTCACATGTACAAGTTTGATGGATAGTGGAAGATAGGGCAACAAGTTCTGTACTATGGTTGTGTATTGCTAGAATTTGTGGGTCATATGAAAAATGATTAGGAAATTAAATTATGATGTAACTTTCATGTATTTTTCTCTTGTAAAGATGGGCTTTGAACTTTGAATTTTCACATCCACTTTGTTATTTGAATCATGCTTTAAATTAATGAAAAATCCTTGAACTGTTGATCATTGACTTGAAGTTTCCATGTCATTCCAAAATCTTCATTAATCAACCCACACCCTTCTCGAGTTCTTCATTGAATGAAGCTTTGAAATAACCCACAAATCAATCTTTGAGAAATAAATATTCAAACTCGAATCGACCTTTAGCTTTGAACGTATTATTGAATCAACATGAATTCATCCCAACTTTTCACTTTGAGTCATGACGGGCCAAAAACATCACCCTGAGCTTTATTGAACAATATCCTAATATATGATGGATCATGTCAGTCTTTGATCATGAAACAACTGAATTAAATACCTCTTGAAAACTTGACTCCTTCATAGACACCTTGAGCAAATAGACCTTCAAACGAAGACTCAAACCATATTGCCTAAACAAGACTTGCCTAACCAAGGTTATATTAGAGGCAAATGCACGCACTCAAACCTCAGATGAACCTCAATTTATTCTTGTAACAATTTTGACCCATAAACCAAGGAATCGTGGGACAAAATGATTTAAATCTTCAATCCCTCGAACAGTAGTTGGTGGATAGATGCACAGATGAAAACAATATACTATGTAGGAGAAATTGGGGTATGCTTATGCAATGTGATATGCTAATGCAATGAAATAAAACTCAAGCCAGAGAAGTTGGTCAAATTTTGGGGTACAACAAAGGGTTTCTTGAATTTTTCTAAGTTATGAAAATCCTATGATTTTTGCCTTACTTCCCAAGTTCATACCTCAAGCAACCATTTTCTTTGCTCCAAAGATCAAATTGAAGATCTTGTTCCATACTCCAACTTTTTCCTAGGGAATGGTTTTCAAAAAAATGCATGGATAAAGAGATATAAGGCCATGAAGTGGAGGGTTCACTACTTTTTGAACAAGAACACTTAGAAAAATTTTCAACCAATTCTGTCTATGTCAAGTAGCCGACTTTATGGGCATTTTCACCCTTTCTCTTTTTACCCGTAGTTCCCTGAACTACAATTGCACTAAATTCCTATTAAATATATGTAGGCATAGGATTGTGAGATCCTAGTGAGCTACCTTTTATTTAGACACATTACAGAAACATTTCCCACTCTCATCATCACCCAAAAACAATAAACTCTCCCAAACAATAGTAAATAGTTTATAGCAAAAACATATATATTTCAAAAGGTTCTTGTAGAGTACTACAGATACTTAGAATGCTAATACCTTCCCTTAGTATAACCAACCTCCGTACCTTTGATCTCTTATTTGCATAGTCTTTAGCCTTGACTTTAGCTATGCATATTTTATTTAGGGTTTATTCGTTCTTTTCCCCATCCCTTGGATAAATTAATGTTTGGTGGTGATATCTTTTGTTTTGCGAGTCACGTTAATATAATAGCTTGGTCTCTGATTCTCACCGTGTAACACCCCCTTCTACACCCCAAATAAATGCATATAAAACAATTAAGCACATACAAATTATCAGAGTAAAAAGGTTTTATAATAAGGTATAAAAGAAGAATGCCACAATTTCACCAACGAAACTCTTTAACATTTTGCTCCATAAAATATGTAACAATTTCGTAGTTTTAGAATTCACATTTCAACATTCAATTTGAGAGGAAAATAACATCATTTGATCAGTTCCAAAATATTAATTCAAATGCACATAAGTCATCCAGATTAATGCATCATATCAGTTAGATTACAAAACCACATCAGCTGATACATCGCAATGTTTCACAAAAGAATGACTATACTAGTCTAACTACCCGGTGTTACATATCAGAGCAGCCGACACAAAAGAATGAAGACTAACTTCACAAAAGGACTCCAGCATCCTAATCTGCAATGCCTCATAGAGCATTATAAAACAGCAGAAGGGTGAGAAATATAACCATAATAATCAAAGCATAAGATTATATATATATAGGTAGTCATATAACACATATTCACATTTCTCACCATACTTCATTCTCTTAGTCATATATATTTACCACACATATATAGACAAACCTGGATATTCACAAAGCATTTCCACATTATGCATACACTTACAATTTCCACAATCTCATCATTCACACATAAGCATCTCTTCATGCATATGTCATATATCAATGTGACTCAATAACTCAATGCAACTCATGCAATGCGGTACCGACTCTCGTTATCTTTTTTCGGTTTTTACATTAAACCGGGTCCACTCTTCTAGACCGATAACCCGTTATCTTTTTTCGGTTTTTACATTAAACCGGGTCCACTCTTCTAGACCGATAACCACAAAGGCCCGTCCTCTAAGCCTTCAAACCCACTCTTCTAGGTTTGGGACAAGCCACTAGTTTCCACGAAACTAACAGACATTGCCTCTTGACTAAATGATGCATGTACAATCAACCACGACAAATGCACTTAAGACCGACATCTTAATCTCATGCATTTACATAATTCATCTCTTCAAGAATTACACAATGATTGCACATACAGCATATATCACAACAATCAAGGTATTCACATCACAATACCAATCATACAATTACAAGTGATGCACACATATTCACAATGTTCTCATGCATACTCATCACATAATTGTATACACATCAAGCATTCACAAGTTCATTAAATAATACACACATAATCACCCATTATGTTCACATGTATTTATACTTGATGCAATTAACATTCAAATCACAATTCTAGGATTCACGCCCGTAGGCTACCCACAACACACATCATCACAATAGATCATATCTATATCATATCATAGAGGTATTGATCTCTGAGAGGCAACCAAACCATCTCTACATGAACAACACAGCAAAGGAAAAATGCTGTCACATTCGCCTCCATTCGCCTGGCGAACCCTCGCAGCGAACCTTCGCCTGGCCTTCGCCTGGCGAACTCTCTCAGCGAACACTCGCTAGGCTTCGCCTGGCGAGACTTCCCAGCGAGCCCAAGTCAGTAGCTACTGACTTCATTCGCCACCATTCGCCAGCACCTTCGCTGGGCGAGCCCTCGCTACTCAACTTCGCCTGGCGAACCCACCAGCGAAGTCCACTGGGACTTAAATATAATTATTCGCCAACATTCGCTAGGCTTCGCCTGGCGAAGCTTCGCCTTCGTTCGCCTGGCGAGAGCCAGCGAACCTGCGCAGAACAGAACCCTATTCTGTTCCACCTCCACCATCCACCATCATCCAACTTCTCACACAACAAAATCAGTACAAACAGCATCAACACATGTTACCCAACTATTCTACGGCATTATTGCTCAGTTCCAACCGATTAAATCATCAATCTACCGATTATTCCAACTTTTGCCCTAATTGGAAAGTGATGAAAACTCTACCAAAACCCCAACCCAACATACATAACATCATACAATGATCAAATAGAAACATTTCTCACCCTTACCTCGATTAATCGGAGCTTTGATGTTGGTTCTTGATGATTTCCACTTTTCCTTTTCTTCTCTTCTCTTTCTCTCCTTTTTTTTCTTCTTTCCTCTTTCTTTCCAAATGTTTTCTATCTTTCTTTTCTTTTCTTTCTCTCTTATATATTTCCTTCATTTTCCTTCCTCTCCAATTCCTTCTTAATTCTCTATTAATCCCAATTAATAAGAATTAATTTCCAACATTGATAAAATCCCACTAAATAAATTAATTACTACAATTAATTATTTAATGAAATTTGGGCTGTTACACACCGCGTACAAACGGTGTTGTAGAATACAAAAACCATGTGTTGGAAGAGCTTTCCCGGACTATGATAAATGAGATGAGTCTACCCAAGTATTTTTAGGAGGATGGGATTAACACCGCATGTCACGTGTTAAATAGGGTATCGTAAGATCTATTCTAGAGAATATGCCCTATGAGATACTCAAAGGTAGAAAACCTAATATTTCATATTTTCGAGTTTTCGGTTGCAAATGCTTTATTTTGAATAGCGAAAAATATAACCTTGGCAAATTTGATGTAAAATATGATGAAGGTATTTTCTTAGGGTACTCATCTTCGAGTAAAACCTATAGGGTTTATAATCATAGAACTTCTTGTGTAAAGGAGTCAATTCATGTTACTTTTGATGAGTCCTCACCCCAAAAGTCGGG